CTTGTCATTGGGACTTCCGCCTCCCACTTTTCCTGAAACTTGGTACAAAACTCACTTCCTTCGAGTACCACTACTAATTAAAATGTCTAATGATCTATTTCAGAAACTTGTGTACAATAACTATTATCTTGAGTCAAAACATTACTAGGATCTGTGTCGCTCTGCATTTCATAGCTCATTATAATTCTGGTCTACTTAAAAAACGATGTTAAACTCTTTAGCAGTGTGTGGAACCTTGGGTGTCCGAACATGCAACAATTACTCCGTCCTTTATCAAGGATTTAAAACCGAAGTCTGGTAATAACTATGCCACAATGGTGAAATCAACACTCTAGATTGGAATTTAATATGTGGCTTGGCACTAGCCATTAATACAAACAAAGATTTGTCCTATAGAGTGGTTCCTAAAACTATCCTTATAATGGTGATCAATATTGTAACCAATGAGATCACTACTTTATTCACACGTGAATAAAAATGTCTTAAAGAATGATTTGTTAACATGATGAAAATATTGAAGAATATGGTTATACTCTGTCAGTGTGTTTTAGGATGATTATCATCTTACTTTAATAGTTTCCTCTTTACTGCTATTTTTAATTTATCAAATGATTAATAAATCTTTCTGTCTTTATGAAGTTAATTCAAGTTATTTAAATGTGCGTTTCGTGAATAAGTGTGTTTATGTGTAACTCACTCATTCCCGTTCTCCTTTTCTCCTCCCCTGGTTTTCTCAAGCCGTGACCCCGGCCTCCTCACTTCTAATCGACCATGCCAACTCCTCTGATTCTGTCTTCTCTTCAGTCCATCAGCTGTTGAATCCATCCGCTGTAACTTTTGTAGGCCGCCATTGGCCCAGTCACATCTGCAGCCCCATCATGCCACTGTTGTTGCACTCCTCCTTTACAGTCTCTCTGCTGTTTTTATGGAGGGCGGATTCTGCTCTCATGTCTATTGTGCCAAATCTCGCGGCGCAGTTTGGAACTTCATGTCCTGTTTGAGGGACCGATGAGAGTATCTCTCTGTATGTCAGCATGCTGGTTTGGTTCTGGATGCCACAGGTGGAGATAGTTCTGGCTGCAGTCTTGATGTAGTCCTGTTGTTGTTGTTGGTTCAGCTCTGGTTCTCTGTCTGTACGATGGAGAAGGAGGAGTCTCCTGTTGGGTTAGGTCTCGTTGTCTGCTTGGAGGGTCGGGATCAAAGCCTTTCTAACTCAGAGGGGGAGTCCAGGTCCCGGTACACATTACCTATAAGAAGTCTAGCACACTGATGTTAAATAAATCCAACCCTTTCCACTCTGTCTCTTTCTAATCATACTATCTGTCTTAGTTGTTAAATGCCATCTAAACAACATAATTCATGTCTACTTATGATATTACAAAAACTAACTCCAAAAATTGTTTCATCCATTGTTACATATTTACCCAACACAACTCTGAAATACTTACATGTTTCCAGCATCACATATTCCACACACTATGAAAGAACATCTCCATATCTTCTCTCATTTTAAATCCCACTGTTACTTCGAACAATAGTAAACCTGCAGAGCACACCAATCGGATCACAGTAATGAAATTTGAATCAAGTGTAGGCCTATGTCTTCTTTCTGAACATTTATTTATATTGTCTACATTTGCAAACAGTTCGAGTGTAAAATGTGTTTTGCACAATGTATTTACACTCTACAGATTCTTGAGTTTACTCATCTCCTGGTGCTGTCGTTGTAAAAAATGTTCAATCCCTTATTGTTTTGTACCAGTTTACCAAACAATACCGGCCAGCAATGTAATGATTAAACTCTAAGCTCGCATAAGTTTCAAGGGTGTGATACCCCCTTTCAGCCACTAGATGGCAGCAGCAGAAGTTTCAAGGGTGTGATACCCCCTTTCAGCCACTAGATGGCAGCAGCAGAAGTTTCAAGGGTGTGATACCCCCTTTCAGCCACTAGATGGCAGCAGCAGAAGTTTCAAGGGTGTGATACCCCCTTTCAGCCACTAGATGGCAGCAGCAGAAGTTTCCAGACAAAGGGAAACGCTCTACCTTGGTTTAATATATAACAGACCTCTGGCTTTAAGCTTTTAGCATTGGTCTGTTATTTAAACCCCAGTTTTAAACGGCGACTCGATCTGATATATCGAGTTTTCAGGTTTTGCCGTGCAGGATTCAAACCTCGCATTCACACAAACTGCACCATTTCTACGCCACTCAGGAATAAACACCTGCAGATCCGCGCCAAACTGCTCTATTTTACGTCACGCAGGACTTTCGTCTACCTGTCGATCCACGTTTACGTTTTGTATATAACTTTCCTAACATAGTAAAATATGCATTGTATATTCCATTTAAACTATAAAAACACTGTGAAACGCCTACAGACAATCCTAAAGTTTTAGCGTATCCAATTACAGACAGGCGACTTTCATCGTCTGCTTACCTTATTTGCAAAGTTGCAGAGTCCTGCTGATTGTCTGAGATGTTTGAAAGCGTCTGAATTCTTCCTCAGCTTCGTTATCTCTAGACGTCGGGTCACCATTTTGTTGGGGATTTGGAGGGATAACTGGTCCGCTTTTCAAATCTCCGCGCGTTCCTATGAAGCTGGTTATAATACAGGAAGGAATCCATAGCTACAAAGTAACCGTTAACAATAATCTACTTTAATGGCAATATGACAATGCAATACATCATTACAATACAACATGATATATTACAGTTATATTGCAATGCTTAAGGAGTAATGCCGGCTTACTCCTGCTCTAGTCCGCATACTACAGAGCTACTTTCACCCGAGGGCAGCATGTGAAGAAGAGGCCGAACGCCAGGGATCCACCGGATATATACCAGAGTAAGAAGGAGGGGTTTGGTGTTAGGTCAGCTGGTCATCTTTTCAGGTCATCTCATTGGGAGACGCAACGCAGCAGGAAACGCAGCAGGAAACCAAACAGGCTCACTTTCCAACAAAAGGTCTCAAAGCCTGCATACCTACACCTCCCCCACAGAGCCATAAAACCCTGTTTACTCCAACCAGCCCAGAATGTTTATAGCCATTTGTAGTCCTTACATTTATGAAAGGATAAAACAGAGAAATCAATATAAAACACAAACACAGGTATTGTTTGAACAGTATTCACTTAACTGCTACTGTTGATAACCACCAGAGAAACCCAAGGGACCTCTCTTAACATCACAACCACTGCAGCTAGATCTAAGTTGAATGCAAATCAGGACATGCTCTCACCTTCCCCCATCTTCCTTTGTCCTCAAAAACACATGTCAACAGGCCCCAAATGCAGCTCACAGTTTTACCCAAATTATTCTCATTTTAAGCTTATCCATAGTTTGCTAACATGAATAAATACAAATATAACTCTACAGTGCTCAGACCTATTTTGTTCACATTATATATGCTTCCGTTAGGCAATATTATAAGGAATCATTCTGTACATTTTCATTGTTATGCGGATGATACTCAACTATATTTATCAATCAGGCCTGATGAAATTAATCATCTAAATAAAATTCAAGACTGCCTTAAGGACTTAAAAACGTGGATGACCTTAAACTTTTTGATGTTAAACACGACCAAAACTGAAGTTATTGTACTTGGCCCGAAGAATCTACGAAACAAATTATCTAAGGATATACTAACTATGGATGGCATTAATTTGGCCTCCAGTGAGACTGTAAGGAATCTTGGTGTTATATTTGATCAGGATTTATCCTTTAACGCCCACATAAAATCAATTTCAAGGACCGCCTACTTCCATCTATGTAACATTGCAAAAATCAGGCATATCTTGCCTCAAAACGATGCAGAGAAACTAGTCCATGCATTTGTTACTTCAAGGCTGGATTATTGTAACTCCTTATTATCAGGGTGTACCAAGAAGTCAGTCAAGTGGCTTCAGCTGATTCAAAATGCTGCAGCTCGTGTACTAACCAGAGTTAGGAAAAGGGACCACATTACTCCTGTTCTGGCTGCCTTACACTGGCTCCCTATAGAACACAGGATAGAATTTAAAATTCTTCTTCTCGCCTACAAAGCCCTTAATGGGCAGGCGCCATCTTACCTTAAAGAACTCATTATACCCTACTGTCCTACTAGGGCATTGCGTTCCAAGAATGCAGGGTTGTTGGTTGTTCCTAGAGTCTCTAAAAGTACAATGGGAGCCAGAGCCTTTTCTTATCAAGCTCCACATTTGTGGAATCAGCTTCCAGTTTGTGTTCGGGCGGCAGACACCCTATCCGTTTTTAAGAGTGCGCTTAAGACCTTCCTTTTTGATAAAGCTTATAGTTAGGGCTGATTAGATTCAGCCCCTAGTTTTGCTGATATAGGCTTCGTTTGTCGGGGGACATCTTACTTCTTCCTTCTCTCTGTCTATACCTGTGTACTCTCATGTTCCGATTAACCCAGCTTCCCCAAATGTCTTTCTTTTTGGTGTCTGTATACGCCGGGATCCGGAGTCATGGATGATCCTGCGCTCCTGTGTCCTGGATCGCGAGCCCTGGATCTTGAGTCGTGGCTGTGGTCCTGGATCATAGGCCCTGGATGGATATCCTCGTGGATTCATCTTCCTATTATATACACATGCATTTCCAAACATTTGGACTACCTATGTTGCAAATGTATTATCTTTTCAATTTACACACGGCATCTATTGCACGTCTGTCCGTCCTGGGAGAGGGATCCCTCCTCTGTTGCTCTCCCTGAGGTTTCTCCCATTTTTCCCTTTAAACTGTGGGTTTTCTTCGGAAGTTTTTCCTTGTACGATGTGAGGGTCTAAGGACAGAGGGTCTGAGGACAGAGGGTCTAAGGACAGAGGGTGTCGTATTGTCATACTGATATTTTGTACAAACTGTAAAGTCCACTGAGACAAATGTAACATTTGTGATATTGGGCTATATAAATAAACATTGATTGATTGATTGATTGATTGGAGCACAGACAACACAATACTGCACAACATCCACCAGAGGGAGCCTCTCTCTGTTAAACTTCAGCAGAGTTTATCAGTCCTCTTTATACTCTCTGTAGCTCAGAGTTTCTCAACCTGCAGATATGATGCATCTGGTTATCTCAGTGTTGCTGGCTGCTATGAGTCTTGGTATGAACTCTTTGAAATCAGTCCAACATTGAGATGATTCTCTAACAAGTCCCTGATACTGTTTGTTGCTGTTTTACAGAATGCAGAGCCCAAAGAGACAACGTGCTGCAACCTGAAGCAGAAAAGACTGCTACTAAAGGAGAGGCAGTAACACTTGGCTGTCACTATAACACCACTTCATCAAATTACTATCTCTTCTGGTACAAACAGCACGGAGACAACAGCCCCACATTCATCCTGAGCCGCTTTAAGATCGGCACGGGGAAAACAGAGGACGAGGACAGATTCTCATCCACACTGGATTCAAGCTTAAGATCTGTTCCTCTGAAGATCCAGAAGCTTCAGCTGTCTGACTCTGCTGTGTACTACTGTGCTCTGCAGCCCACAGTGACAGGAAACACCAACACTCTGTACAAAAACCTTTGGAGCAAAGAAATCACAATACTGATCAACATCCACCAGAGGGAGTCTATCTCTGTTCACCTTCAGCAGGATGTGATGATACAGTCTAGATTAGATTCTCTAAGACTCACAGCTGTGATGAAGAGCTCCAGAAACTCATTGGACATCCGAGTCTCCTCCTGCTGACTGCAGAGCTTCATGACTGACACGTCTCTGATTCCAGCTGTGAACATCAGACCAAACACAACTCACTAAACGTTTCCATACTGAACAACCACAGCTTTCCCCTCTGTGAACATGGAGAAACTGGCTGCAATTCTGCTCTGTTCAGCTCTCATAGGTACGTATGTTTCTGACAGGAGAAGGGGAACTATGAAGACTTTTTTCAAAGCATTACACATCCAGTTTGGATTTTGGATTAACGCTTTACAGCAAAGTTGTTTTTTCACTAAGGGATTGATGGGTTTGTGACTTTGGAGCTGTAATGATAGCATGATGTTTTTCTCTCCAGGTAACAGCTTGGAAGATGCTATTACTGCCATCAGTGCTGAAGTGTGTTCCTCAGAGGGCCGTAGTGTTACTCTGTCCTGTACATATTCAGTTCAAGCTGATAATCTCCAGTGGTACAGACAGGATCCTGGATCAGCTCCTCAGTTCCTCCTCCTGATCACTGACACAACAATCTATCTATCTATCTACTTTTTACTTCACTATGTGTATTTTTACAGATTGACTGACATAGCAGATTTAGGATATTAATACACAATATAAATCGACACACATTATATTATAGATGAAGCTACCCAGTACTCTATAAAGTCATTCAAATAAACCCCACCTTTACCCCCATCAATCATTTTAACAACTGAAAATACCTGGTGCTTAAAATGGCCACTTTGCATAACGCATAGTTTTACTTTTTACGTAAAGTATTTTTTTTATGCTAATACTGTTTGACTCTTATTGAGGTTACATTTGAATGCAGGAATTTGACTTTGTTTACACTGCAGTATTACTACTTTTACTGAAGTAAATGATGAGAGTACTTCTTCCCCCTCTGGATTGCTGACTCATTATATGCTTTGCTCCACAGCTTCTTCCTGACGGACACCAGCTCCTCCTCTTCAAAGTTTCCAGTCCATTAGACAGACTCTTATTCTCTTGCAGATATCATGTATCATGTATATCCATACAGATTGAGGTATAATCAATACTATTTCTGAAAAATCAATGGAGAATTGTGAAAGGATAGAGCAACCTGACAAATCCAAACACCTCACCACATCATCACATGTATTCCAATAGTACTCCCTTCATGCTGTTCATGAGTCAAATGATACAACAAATGCCCGATTTCATGTGGGCTCGAAAGCCTGAGGAGGAAATCATGGTTTCAAAGAGTCAGCTGATAACCAGCTTTGTAGTTCCTGTTATATCTGATCAGGAGCTTTAGTTTTTCCTGATAGGCCTCCATTAGACTCTTTGTTTATTCCCCTATCAACATCTCTATGGAGCTAACCAATCAGAGCAGACTGGGCTCTGGTTTCAGACAGAGGGTGATAAGAGGTGCTGCAGCACAGGCAGTATGAACATCTACAAATTCTGACATTTTTCTGAATATCTCAAAATGTTTACTTTTTCTAAAGTGTTTTTTTTTCTCCAGAAGAAACCCCGATATTGTGATTTTCCCCTGAATATCTCAACTTTTGACTTTACGGGGAAATATCAACAGTTTGAGTTTTTTATAAATTCAAAGATTTCTGAAAGAATCATAAAAAAGACATTTTTGACTTTATTTATCCTGAAAATATCGATGACTTTCTTTTTCTGAACATAACCGAATTCTGACTTATTTCTGAGAATCTTGGAATTCTGACTTTTTAAAGAACATTTCAGAATTTGGCCCTTTCCCCTGATAATGTATGCATCTGAAAAGATGTAGAGGGTATCCCAAACGTGCCTAAATCCTCCACCACACACACATTTAACAATACTCAATAAATCCATCAAAGATCACACCGAGGCTCTGGAGTCAGCAGCAGGTCTGAGAGAGAGAAGGCTTCCTGGAGCTCCTCCTTTAATGCTCTGGCTGCTGATAGGCCAGCTGAGGGTGAGGGGATCCAATCAGCCGCCAGTCTGAGGTGCTCAGGCAGGTTCTGATCAGCTGCTGATTACCTGCAGGGAAACACAGGGGAAAAGAGAGAATAGCAGGAGGACACAACAACAGCTCGCCTGCTGGCACCACGTAACACTGAGACAGAGTCATTCATAGAGTTCACATCTTCTGGTTCAGTGTAGAGTTGGTTAAGACCTGAAAAGGTGAACATGTCCAGCAAGTCTTAAAGAGTCCCTGTTCCTCTCTCTGTGGTGTTCCCTTTCCTGGGGGGTATACTACGAAGCAGGATTTTCGCTTAGCCGGCAAAATTCAGGGAAAACTCCGGCTTTCCGGTCCTACGAAGCTGGTTCTCTTTTTAGCGGGCTAGATCTCCATGGTAACTTATGCTTAGCGGCTAACCTGGTCTATCCCAAGATGGAGCCTTGAGGAACCCCACATGTCATATTTGTCAACTCAGATGTTTATTTACCGATAGAAACAAAGTTGTTTCTGTCCTTTAAGTAGGATTCAAACCAATTTAGAACTGTTTCCGAAAGTCCCACCCAGTGTTCCAGTCGGTCTAGTAATATGCTGTGGTCAACAGTGTCAAACGCAGCACTGAGATCTAATAATACTAACACTGAAGTTCTGCCACTGTCTGTGTTTAAGTGGATGTCATTAAAGACCTTTACAAGAGCAGCCTCAGTGCTGTGTGACTGGAACACATCAAAACAGTTATCAAGTGCCAAAACAGCTTTTTAGCTGTTGAAAGCCATTTTTCCAATTATTTGACCCGTCCTATAAATGTTCATCAGTGAAGCGCCTAGATTGTTCTTTAAGAGTGGTTTGATGACTGCAGATTTCAGGGACTGTGGGAATAAATATGAAAAACAGGAAGTGTTGGTCCATCTGAGACCTGTACTACGAAGCCGGATTTTCGCTTAGCGAGCTAACTTCAGGGAAAACTCTGGGTCCCCGGTCCTACGACGCTGGTTCTCTTTTTAGCAGGCTAGATCTCCATGGTAACTGATGCTGAGCGGCTAGCCTGCCCCGGAGCAGGTTAGGTTGCAGGCTAAGAGCTCAACTCAGTGAAAGCACCGCCTGCTGACCAATCAGAGCTCAGTGTGCGGAGTTTAAAGCGATCAAGTCATATTTCAGGATAGAGGAAATACAGAAAAGCTGCCGTTGCCGGAAAGACGGCCGGCAACAATCAGCGACTGTGTGAACGTGAACATGAATAGAATATCAGCTCCATCTTCAGAGCAATCTGACTATTATAACATTAGCGTTAAGAAAGCTTACTTAAATATCTGCCACAACATAAGTAACCGGATCAGAGTAACATTAAGTACAGTCCGCGGCATATCACTTCATAATGTATCATCTCCTGATCTGAGTCAGCTGAGCCGTATCTGGCCGTGCAACACTCACAGCGTCACAGACTGGATGCAGAAGGATTATTTTAAGCAACACATTAAGTTGACGAAACACTCGAGACAAATGTAGGCTAATTAAAGTCAAATCGTGTTTTAGACGCGGCAGTGATATCATAAACCTGTTAATTTCTGCATTCAAACACTTTTTCTTTTGCCAGCTGTATTCACCTGGCTTTTATCCTGAATAAAGTGTTTAAGTCATGGATGTTTAAAGTTTAACTTCTTCATTTTTGACTAGTATTAAAGTTCACTTTTCATTCAGGAAGTATGACGCTGCGCTGTCAGTACGCTTCTCCATGTTTGTGATTGGTAAAATGCTCCAGATACCACCCCTTTCATGTGAACGCGCAACTAACTAGATAGGACACGGCTGGCTTGAGCGATCCACTTGATAACCAGCGTCGTAGTACCGTTTAGCGAGAGCGCGTATGTTTTGGATTAGGCCAACCGGCTAACTCAAACATATCCAGGTTAGGTTGAACCAGCTTCGTAGTATAGGCCCCTGTAGTGTCTTCTATAGGTGCCTGTAGCGACAGCAGGAAACAAACTAAGTCGCTGAGAGGCTGAGGCCGGGCCTGTTTGCTGTTGTATGACACGTTAAAAAAGTACTCGCTGAGATCTGAAGCTCTGTTTCGTGGTACGGTAGTTTCATGAAAAAACTCGGTGATCAGACATACTGTATACATTGTTAGAATCCAAGCAATTGTAACCTTGCGGTCAACAAAAAAATACAACGGCCCTGTGTCACCCTCTCTTCCACACACACACACCTCACACAGGTGAACAGGATTATAATGAGTGCCACCCATACCCATGTGACCCAAGCCAACCAATCAATATTGATCATGGCTCCTACAGTGCATGTTGTCATGGCCTGGCAGAAAGGACACGATGTAAAGAAAGATAAGTACTTGTGGGTTATCTGTCGCCACTTTTTTCAAGGTTAATCATCGATACAATTTAATCGATGCAGATACTGGAGTCCAGACGCAGAATATCCAACACTTGTGGGGATCAACAAGCGTCACCGAGGAACTGCCCGACACCATCTTGTCCCCTATTATCCTCTTCTTCATCAATATATCACAGGTCTCAGATATATACAGAGCCTGTCTCTGATTGACTGACTGAACATCCACCTGAGGGAGTCTCTCTCTGTTAAACATCAATCATTTGTGATGATACAGTAATGTACTTTACCCGCTTGATAATTTGAAATCTATGATGTGGATAATTATGTAAATGATGCTGTATGATGTCCTTTTGTTGTTCTATTTATGTTTTTATGTTTCATGTGGAACTACTTGAGCAGGTCTCCCTTGAAAAAGAGATCAATGATCTCAATGGGATTTATCTGTATAAATAAAGGTTTGAAATGAAAATTAACAATTGCTCCCTACCGTACAAACACATGTACTGTCTTTGATTCACATCCACAGGTTCAAATGTTTAACTGAGTCAGTGAATCTGGCCTTTTGTCACAGGCTGAAATAAAAGTAAGTAGTCTCCATGAACTTAAAATACGTTCTTTTCAGTTTTTCTGTGAGTCTGTGATTTCACGTGGTGTACCACAGGGTTCAATCCTAGGTCCTCTCACTTTGTCATTGGATTCAGTTTATCTTTAAGCACAATGTGATAATATGTTATATTGGAACAGCAGCTTGTGTTGTGGTGTTCAAGACCTTTTAAATAAAAAGTGTGAATCAATATTCTGATTAGATTAAGATATTTTTAAGCGGATTTATCTCTCGATGAAACACCTCTCACTAATCTGACTTCACCTTAACCCCCGTCATTGTAATTGCTAAGTTTTTGTACATTTCAATGTATGTGTCAGTGAGAAGCACAAAGAGAACTAAATGTTTTAAATATGAGAAAAGTATTTTGATGGCTTGAAACTAGTAAAACATGATTCTCTGGCCCCGCCCACTGACGTTAATATCAACCAATGAGATGATCTGTGAGATGTCTGAGGAACTAAAAGCACAATCATCTGATGTTGAGGAGAAGGGCTGAGCAGCAGAGAGGCTGTTTCCTGCTTCACTTCTGCAGGAGGAGAACTCATCTGCTGACTGTTTGACTTCAACATCTCCAAAGACATGTTGCTTTACCTCTGTTTACTCTTCTCTCTCTTCATAGGTGAGTGTTGGAACAGAGACAAAGTCTCATTCAACCCGCTGTATTAGCCAGAGATTTCATACCTGGAGGTTTGATTGTGTAAGGCAGCAACCGTTGTGATCTATGAAGACATTTGGTCATGTTTTATCTCAAACTGATCAAAGATGACAGGAAATTGAAGAGCCTCCGTTGAGTCTCTTAATGTTAAATTCTCCTGCAGACTAACTGACATGAGTAATTCTCATTTTGCAGCCCTGGGCTCCATGAACAGCATAAAGCCAGAAAGAAGTGAAGAACATGTTGCAGAGGGCAGAAACATCAGCCTGACATGTAAATATGAGGGGGCTATCTACAATATCCAGTGGTACCGACAATACCAGAGATCCAGACCAGAGTTCCTGCTCCACATCACAGAGGCAGGAGGGATCCATCCCACTGAGTCTGATTTCTCTGCTCACATTGACAAAACAGAGAAACGAGTTGATCTGGAGATCATCTCAGCTAAAGAGACAGACTCTGCTGTGTACTACTGTGCTGTGAGGCCCACAGTGACAGGAAACACCAACACTCTGTACACAAACCTCAGGAGCACAGACAACACAATACTGCCCAACATCCATGAGAGGGAGCCTCTTTCTGACAAACATCAATAGTTTGTGATCATACTGTTCTATTTCGTATATGGCTTCGCCCTCTAAGGCTATCGCTATTGGGTTATCCCTCTGTGCCCCCGTGCAGCACTGAAACACTTGTAGTCCACGCCCACCCGCCAGGTGGGCCCCACCCTCGGGCCTCCTTCCGGTATAAATAGGAAGGGTTCCCGGCAATCTGCTCCCTCTTTTCTTCAGCAAACCAGCACAGTTACTGAAGCACAGCCTACCTGTGGTCAGAGCACGCATACGCGGCTCTAAACCAGCAGGTAGCATGCACACACTGCGCTCCCCTCCCCTCGGGCGACAGGAAGCGGAGAGCGGACGCTCTTGCTGCTGTGGCCGAGGAGGACGATTGGCCCGTCCAGGCTTACGAGCCCGCGGACGGGGCCTCGTGTCCCTGGGGCCGAGTGCCGGGCAGGAGTCCGAGGACCCACAGTTCAAAGGGATACAGGAGACACGCCTGTCATCCCGAGAACAGTGGCTTACGCTCCAAGCAGAGCTACGGGAACTTCTGTTGAAAGAGGCTATTTCCAGGGTTCCCCAGGAGGAAGAAAATCAGGGCCAGCTGCCTCCAATCTGTTGATTAGTAGGCAGCAGGGTTCGCTGCAGAGGCCTGGTGGTTATGACTTTTCGGTTATTAAACCACAGACCTCGCGGCATTCCTCTGTCCGAGATACGCCACCTACACACGGTCACAATAAGCCCATGAGCGCCGTGGTAACGCCTCATGTGGATATCACTGCACACACCTCCACCCATCCTCTGAGCGTGTACATGATGAGAGTCGGAGTGAAATGCAGCGTGTGGAGGCCTCCTCACAGCCCTTTCGCTCTAGGCCCACCTTGGGTTGCCTCACGGGCAGCGGCGGCGAGGACTCTGGCGTGGCTCGTCGTCATGACGATCACAACACATCTCGAGCATGTGCGCCCGCTCTCAGAGTGTTTCTCGGCGTGGCAGCGTGTGTCTGATGGACAGATGGATGAGCAGGCTGATCAGCAGAGAATACACCCTGCAGTTCGCCTCCCCCCCCCCACAGTTCAATGGGATACAGGAAACACTCTTGTCCTCCCAGAAGCTATGTCTTGCGCTCCAATCCGAGCTGCTGGAACTCCTGTTGAAAGAGGATATTTCCAGGTTTCCTCAAAGGGAGGAAAATCAGGGGTTTTCACTCCCGTTATTTTTCTAATCCCGAAAAAGACTGGGGCAATGAGACATCCTCGATCTGTCAGTATTCCACATGCTGACGATCAAACAGGTGCTGGAATGTGTTCACCAGGACGACTGGTTCACTTCCACCTGAAGGATGCATACTTCCACCCATCATCCCGAAACACAGGGAATTCCTGCGGTTTCTCATTTCAGGGAATATCAGACCAGACAATCGTCTGCCGTTTGGATATTTCCTGGCTCCTCCCATTTTTGTGTAGAGAAGGCTGGAGCCGCTACACAGAGGAGGGATGAGAGGGTGGTTTCCTCTGGACGACCTGCTAGTTGCTGGCTCGCTCCAGGGAGGAAGTCGCTTTACAGACGGTACATCTCGTATCGCATCTGTCAAAGCCTGGGTTTCATAACAAGTTGGAAGAAGAGCTGTCCTCTTCCCTCTCAGACAAACGTTTATCTGGAGTGGAATTAAAAACTCAGCCAGCAGCAGAGCGCTCTCTGGCAGCGAGTGAGAAACTGACAGCTCTCCTCCGGCGTGTCACAACCCACACAGCCCTCTCCGTGACGCAGCTGCTCGGCATTAGCGTCAGCTGGTCACAGGGGGGATTCCCCTGGGTCTTCCCCACAGGGGGAGTCTCCAGAGGTGCTTCATTCACTGCAGAAGCCTGCTGTTTTAACCTATTGGTTTATAAACTGCAGAGCTCGAGGCATTCCTCTGTCCCAGATATGCCTTACACACGGTCATAATAAATCCACGAGCACTGTTATAACGCCTCGTGTGGACAGCATACACACACCTCTCATCCTCTGGGCGTGTACGCGCCTCATGATGAGAGACAGAGTGGAATGCAGCGTGTGGAAACTGCCTCGCAGCTTTTTTGCTTCACGGGCAGCAGCGGCGAGGGCGTGGCACGTCACCATGACGACCATTACACAGTACAATCAAACATGTGTTGATTTGCACAGACAAAAGGCCACGGCTATGGAAGCAGTCTACCTCAATCGCCAGGGAGGAGTACGATCTGCGCAGCTTCTGAACGCGAGGGGCTCGCAGAACGCAGCAGCCGTTGTATGCGAGGAGTATGGAGACTCAGACCGGTGTCACGCACACTGGCGACTCAGTGGGATTTGGCTTTGGTGTTACGCGCACTAAAGCAAAGCCCCATTTGAACCTGATCAGGTTCCCCTTAACTGTATTCAGCCAAAGTAGTACTGCTTTTGGCTCTATCAGAGAAAAGGGTGAGTGATTTGTCTGCTCTCTCTGTGGCTCCGTCATGTCTCCGGATCCAAGGAGATGCAGTTCAGCTGTTTTACGCCCTAACCCGGCTTCATGCCTAAGGTCATCACAACTCTTTTAGGTCAAGAGTGATCACCCTGGCTGGCTTCTTCCCCCCTCCTTACAGGTCGAAGGAAGAAGCCACATCTCATCTCCTCTGTCCGGTGTGCGCGCTGTCCTGCTATGTGGTGCGCACGGCGGCATTGCGCCGTTCTCAGCGCCTGTTTGTGCACTACAGAGAGCGCTCGATCGGGCAACCTCTGTCTGCACAACGGCTGTCACACTGGCTGTGTGAGGCTGTGTCGCAGGCATATGTCTCCTCTGGGGTGGAGCCCCCGGAGAATATCAAAGCGCACTCCACCAGAGGAATTTCCTCCTCCACGGTGTTGCGCGGAGGAATGTCAGTGGAAGATATTTGCACGGCTGCATCTTGGTCTTCCCCCTGTTCATGTATTCAATTTTATTTGAGGGATGTCTCCCTTTCCTCTCTGACGCACCCTGTACTGGGTGTCCTGTCAGAGTGAGTGACGTCAGGGATCCAGCTGTGCGCCTCTCTCCTGCCTCGCGGCACACATGCCCCTTTCACACCAGCGCTTTTTCAGCTCCGGCTCCGGCTCGGAGCTGGAGCTGAAAAGCGCCGGTTTTTCCTGTTCACACCGCAGCGGCGCCGGCTCTTAGCTCCGGAATCCGGTTCACTTCCAGCTCTAAAATATTGTCGGTCTAGAGGCAAGAGCTTCGGAGCTAAGAGGTGGCGTCGCTTACGTCTCTCTTACGTCGAGGCGTGCAGGAAACTAAACCCACCTCCCCTGAACATGGGTCGACTGTCATGCCTGCCTACAAGCAGTAGTGCTTATAAACACACTTTATAAAGTCAGGCAACACTAACCAGGCTTCGTGTGATTCTGTTTATTTGTACCTTACCTTCACCATCCGTTCACTGTTATTGATCATTGTGGAGAGAGGCAGACGTGTTGTTTTGTATTATAGCAGCTATCGGATGGAATCAATACATGGGCTGCACAGGTTGTCGTGTCCGACTATCACAAGTAGAATCATAATAAAAATACGCCGGTAAAATGTGCCTGTAGAAAACGGTTTATGCCACAATAGGATAGCAATAGCAAGTAGTCAGTTTAGCTTTGGTTGCTATGCTAACATCACCCATTTTATACCAGAGAAACTTTCATAACAGCGTTGTGATACCAAACAGCGTCAATTCAGACGGACACACATTCACTTAGGCTAAGGGGAACTGGGGATATGTATCAGCTGCTTGTGTGAGTCGGACAGTGAATACTTTAGAGCGGCCGCGGCAGTGTGAGCTAACCGGGAGCTAACGGGAGAATAAACTCCCGTGGAAGAGCAGCCAGCACTGCAGCGGTCGGTAAATGCTGCAGAAACACATTAATAAACAATGAACCACGGCACTCTGGAGCAAAGTATAAGGTTGGAGAAGTCGTTATTCAATTTATTCTGGCTTCGTGTGATTAAAAGCAACACGATCATCGACCCGACGCAGTTCCCCGTTGTTGTTGTGAGCGCCGTAATGCCGTTGGGGAGCAAATCAGCGATGTAAACGGTGACGTCATGACGCAGCAGCGGCAGCACCAGTCGGGCTCTGGGCGGTGTGAACAGAGCGGGAGCAGAAAAGCGAAACCGGAGCTGAACCATAAAAGCTCTAGCTCGGAGCTAGAAAGGGAAAAGCGCTGGTGTGAAAGCCGCAACAGAGAGCGGCCCTTTTTCCCCCTCGTATGAGAGGGATGTTCCCTTTACTCTGACACACTTCGTACGGAGTGCCGGTCAGAGTGAATGACGTCAGGGATCCAGCTGAGCGCTCTCCTACCTGGCTGACACGGAGAGAGCGGCTGTTCCCCCTCTTTGATCGCAGGACAAGGTGGGACCTTCGTCTCTACTTTCTCACAGCGGTCGGTATGTATTGTTCCCAGCATTCACCCCGTCAGGAAAACAGGTATGTTTGCTCCAGGGACGGGGATGTGCCATTACGCATGGCACAACAGGCAGGGGGGTGTTATTAAGCAGGTATGTCTGTACTTCTAGTGCCGGACGGACCCAGTGGGGCGCAGACTACATCATGCTTCGCCCTTAACCCAATAGCGATAGCCTTAGAGGGCGAAGCCATATACGAAATAGAACTGAGGTTACCTACTGTAACCCAGCTTCTATGAGTATTGGCGCAGCCCTCTAAGCGCTGGGCCCCACTGGCTCTACGAATAGCTGAAGAAAAGTTATTTTGTATGGGAGCAGATTGCCGGGCACGCTTCCTATTTATACCGGAAGGAGGCCCGAGGGTGGGGCCCACCTGGCGGGTGGGCGTGGACTACAAGTGTTTCAGTGCTGCGCGGGGGCGCAGAGGGATAACCCAATAGCGATAGCCTTAGAGGGCGAAGCCAATACTCATAGAAGCTGGGTTACAGTAGGTAACCTCAGTTACAAGCTGGCTCTGCTTGTAACCCAAGGACAACAGTTCCACACTGGAGTTGTCCAAAACAATCATTTATTTTTATCCAACACAGTGGTTCCAACAACAATAAAACAGAACAAAGGAGCGGTGTCCTGCTGCACCGAGCAGGGCAGCTGAGAGAGAGCGAGAGCCTGTTCTGCAGCCCTCTTATATCCTGGAATCAAGTGCCACAGGTGGGTCCCATCACTGCTGATTACAACAAACACACAGGTTACAGCAGCACCACCTGGTGGACAACCACAGGGTTGTCACAATACAGTAATGTCATTTGCCTGCTTGATCATTTCTAAGGGTTTAGGTCAGGTATATAAATGTATGAACAATTTTGAACTACCATACAAACACATGTACTGCCTTTGATTCACATCCACAGGTTCAAATGTTTAACTCAGTGAATCAGGTTAAACAGAGGTTGAAATCAAACTAAGTAGTCTCCATGAACATAAAACAAGTTGTTCTGTTTTTCTGTAAGTCTGTGACTTCATGTGCTGTACAAATGTATCAGATTCAGATCATTTTAAACAGATTTCTCTCTCGATGAAACACCTCTCACCAGTGGTGTAGTGGGGATTTATTTACTGGGTGGACGGGGCGGGGGGAGAGACACTATGGACGCGCTCGTGAACTGTCAACTGGGGGGGGGGGTACACTGTGGACCTCTGTGGACCTCTGTGGACCTCTTGCGCCTGTCAGCGTAACTTACATGATGCCGTTTAAAAAATATAATAATAAAGGGCGATGCCGGCCTTTCTGCGTGACTGTCACTCAAGTGCGGGACATAGTCTCAATTTGTGGGATGCGGGACAAATGATAAAAACACTGTGTGTGCAGTCCCGCACAAAGAAAGTACTTCATTGTATTGTGGTAGTAGGTGTAAGACTACTGAGTCCAGCACTATCAATATCATTAAGAAATAATGGTAACATTGTCTTTTTATCACTCAGAAAACATGCATTATGTACTATGGAGGGGACTCTGACAGAGGATTACTCACAAAGTACACCGTAAAAGTACTTCATTTTATTTCTGTGTTGTGGTGTTCAAGACCTTTTATATGTTGGGTATGAAGTACAATTCTTCTTATATTAAGATCATTTTAAACAGATTTCTCTCTCGATGAAACACCTCTCAGTAATCTGACTTCACGTTAACGCCCGTCATTGTTCCGTTATTTTACTGACTGATCAAACACTTTAAATCACATCTCTCAAGAAACTGGTACACATCACACACTCAAGTTTTGATTGCTTTTGTTTTTCCATCTATCTCCATCTTCTTCTCCCGCTTATCCGTGGTTGGGTCTCGGGGTATCAGTTCCAGCAGAGAGCCCCAAACTTTCTTTTCCCTGGCGACATCAACCAGCTCTGACTGGGGGATCCCAAGGCACTCCCAGGCCAGCGAAGAGATATAATCCCTCCACCTGGTCCTAGGTCTACCCCTTGGTCTCTTCCCAGCTGGACGTGCCTGGAACACCTCCCTAGGGAGGCGCCCAGGTGGCATCCTAACTAGGTGCCCGAACCACCTCAACTGGCTCCTTTCGACGCGAAGGAGGAGCGGCTCAACTCCGAGTCCCTCCCTGATGACCGAACTTCTCACCTTATCCCTAAGGGAGACACCAGCCACCCTGCGGAGAAAACCCATCTCGGCCGCTTGTATCCGCGATCTCGTTCTTTCGGTCATGACCCATCCTTCATGACCATAGGTGAGGGTAGGAACGAAAATGGCCCGGAAGACCGAGAGCTTTGCCTTCTGGCTCAGCTCCCTTTTCGTCACAACGGTGCGGTAAAGCGACTGCAGTACCGCTCCCGCTGCTCCGATTCTCCGGCCCATCTCACGCTCCATTGTTCCCTCACTCGAGAACAAGACCCCGAGATACTTGAACTCCTTCACTTGGGGTAAGGACTCATTCCCTACCTGGAGTGGACAGTCCATCGGTTTCCTGCTGAGAACCATGGCCTCAGATTTGGAGGTGCTGATCCTCATCCCAGCCGCTTCACACTCGGTTGCGAACCGATCCAGTGAGTGCTGAAGGTCGCAGACCGATGAAGCCATTAGAACCACATCATCTGCAAAAAGCAGTGGTGCAATCCTTAGTCCACCGAACTACAGACCCCCTCCCCCATGACTACGCCTCGAAATCCGATCCATGTATATTACAAACAGGATTGGTGACAAAGCGCAGCCCTGGCGGAGGCCAACCCTCACCGGAAATGGGTCCGACTTACTGCCGAGGACCCGGACACAGCTCTCGCTTTGGGAGTACAGAGATTGGATGGCCCTGAGTAGAGACCCCCTCACCCCATACTCCCGCAGCACCTCCCACAGTACCTCCCTGGGAACTCGGTCATACGCCTTCTCCAAGTCTACAAAACACATGTAGACCGGATAAGCGTACTCCCAGGCCCCCTCCAGGATCCTTGCGAGAGTAAAAAGCTGATCCGTCGTTCCACGACCAGGACGGAATCCGCATTGTTCCTCCTCAATCTGAGGTTCGACAATCGGCCTGACCCTCCTTTCGAGTACCTTAGAGTAAACTTTCCCGGGGAGGCTGAGTAGTGTGATGCCTCTGTAATTGGCACACACCCTCTGATCCCCCTTTTTAAATAGGGGAACCACCACCCCGGTCTGCCACTCCTTCGGTACTGTTTCCGACTTCCACGCAACGTTGATGAGACGTGTCAACCATGACAGTCCCTCAACACCCAGAGCCTTCAGCATTTCCGGGCGGATCTCATCCACCCCCGGGGCTTTGCCACTGTGGAGTTGTTTGACGACCTCAGTGACCTCCCCCCGGGAGATTGGTGTTGATCCCCCGTCATACTCCAGCTCTGCCTCTAACATAGAGGGCGGAGTTGTCGGGTTCAGGAGTTCCTCAAAGTGTTCCTTCCAACGCCCTAACACTCCATCAGTTGAGGTCAACAACGTCCCATCCTTACTGTACACAGCTTGGATGGTTCCCTGCTTCCCCCTCCTGAGGTGTCGGACAGTTTTCCAGAACAACTTTGGTGCCGCCCGAAAGTCCTTCTCCATGTCTTCTCCGAACTTCTCCCACACCCGCTGCTTTGCCTCGGCCACGGATGAGGCTGCTGCCCTTCGGGCCTGTCGGTACCTTGCAACTGCCTCGGGAGTCCCCCGGGATAACAAATCCCTGAAGGCCTCCTTCTTCAGTCGGACGGCTTCCCTGACCACCGGTGTCCACCAGGAGGTTCGAGGGTTACCGCCCCTTGAGGCTCCGAGGACCTTGAGACCACAGCTCCCCGCCGCGGCTTCGGCAATAGAGGCTTTGAACACCGACCACTCTGGTTCAATGTCCCCAACCTCCACAGGAATGCCCGAAAAGCTCCGCCGGAGGTGTGAGTTGAAGGCCTCCTGAACTTGGGCCTCCTCCAGACGTTCCCAGTTCACCCGAACTACACGTTTGGGCTTACCAGGTCTATCCAGAGGCTTCCCCCGCCACTCGACCCAACTCACCACCAGATGGTGATCAGTTGACAACTCCGCCCCTCTCTTTACCCGCGTGTCCAAAACATACGGCCTCAGGTCCGATGATACGATAACGAAATCGATCATGGACCTTCTGCCTAGGGTGCTCTGGTACCACGTACACTTATGAGCATCCTTATGTTCGAACATGGTGTTTGTTATGGCCAATCCATGACTAGCACAGAAGTCCAGTAACAAACCACCACTCCGGTTCAGATCAGGGGGGCCGTTCCTCCCAATCACGCCCCTCCAAGTGTCTCCATCATTGCCCACATGTGCGTTGAAGTCTCCCAGCAAGATTAAAGAGTCCCCTTCAGGAGCCCCATACAGGACTCTTTCCAGGGTCTCCAAGAAGGCCGTATACTCTGAACTGCTGTTGGGTGCATAAGCACACACAACAGTCAGAGTTTTTCCCCCCATAACCCGCAGGCGTAGGGAGGCGACCCTCTCGTCCACTGGGGTAAACTCCAACAACGAAGCACCTAACCGGGGACTTGTGAGTATCCCCACACCCGCCCGGCGCCTCACACCTTGAGCAACTCCGGAGAAGAATAGAGTCCAACCCCTATCCAGAAGTAAGGTTCCAGAGCCGACGCTGTGCGTAGAGGTGAGCCCAACCAGATCCAACTGGTAACGCTCCACCTCCCGCACAAGCTCCGGCTCCTTCCCCCCCAGAGAGGTGACGTTCCACGTCCCCAAAGCCAGCTTCTGTCGCCCGGGTCTGGTCCGTCGAGACCCTCCGCTTTCACTGCCACCCTTCTGGCAGCGCACCCGACCCCATTGATGTTTCCCGTAGGTGGTGGGCCCGCGGGACGGAGAAGCGGAGGTGTTGCCCACGTTGCCTTTTCGGGCTGGGCCCGGCCGGGCTCCGTGGCTTTTGTTTTTATCTTTGTAAATTACAATTCTCTGTTGGTCTGTGATTTATTGTGGTGTACCACAGGGATACATCCTAGGTCCTCTGACTTTTTATTTACAGACTGCCTTTGGATCTGTTACCCAGGAGGAAGTGTAACTGAGAAGTGAAATACAGATCTAAGAGGAGACCGAGAGATTCAGGGAGGAGCTAAGATGTTCCTGAACCATAGAAGAGAGAGGAACTTCCATATTCACCAGAGTTCAACACAGACCATCATCACCTTCATTCAACATGCTGTCATTACACTATTATTTACATTCCCTACTGTTAGTTTCCATTCTAAGAGGTACGTAACTTTCTGCATAAACACGTTAACTTCTAATGTTGATCAAATGTGATCTATTAACTGAGTCTTTTGAATTACTCCTCTCTTCAGGGGTCAGCTGTGAAGATCTCACTGCATTACAGAGAGAAGAGTTCAGTCCAGAAGAGAGCTCTGTTTCTCTCTCCTACAGATACTCCAAACAAGCAACTGTTGTTGATAGTTTCTTCTGGTATCGACAATATCCAGGAAAACCACCAGAGTTCATCATCTCTCATTTAGGAACTGGAAACATTATGAATAATCTGATCCCTGGACTGAAGATTAAAGTGCAGTCAAACCAAATCAATATGAGCCTCTCCTCTGCTGCAGTGACAGACTCTGCTGTGTTCTACTGTGCTGTGAGGCCCACAGTGACAGGAAACACCAACACTCTGTACAAAAACACCAGCTGACACACTGACAAGCTGCTGGAAGCCTTTTCTCCACACTGTTGTACCGAGCTGTTCACCTCCACTAGAGGGCCACATGATCAAGTAGGCGGTGCACGTCTTCTGCACTGTGTTCAACCATCCAGTCAATAATAAGTGCTGCTGTGAAGAGAACCATCCTCACACTGAATGCTGAACATCAGCTACTTCCTGCTGCTGATTTAAACCTTGTTGTAGAGATGGAACATTGGCTGTGGATTATTCTTGCTGCTCTCTCCTTTGGTAAGATAGAAACTACAACATGTTTCTAGGTAACTGTTTAAAGCTACTGATTGTTCTCCTTTAATCCTTCATCTGTATTGATTCATCTCTTCCTCTGAATGGTCTCTTCTTCCCCAGAGTGTAAAGGACAAGACACAGTGACCCAGACAACAGGAGAAGTCAGCGCTACTGAAGGAGACACAGTTACAATTGACTGCACATTTAAGACAACTGACAAATATCCCTATCTGTTCTGGTACAAACAAGAAGTCAATGGTTACCCAAAGTACATGTTGATGCGTTGGACAGGAACTGGAGAGAATGCTGTAGAGTTCCAGAAAGACAGATTTGATGCTACAATCAACGAGACATCAGTTCCTCTGCAGATCTCCTCTGCTGCAGTGACAGACTCTGCTGTGTACTACTGTGCTCTGAGGCCCACAGTGACAGGAAACACCAACACTCTGTACAAAAACCTCTGGAGCAAAGACAACACAGTACTGCCCAACATCCACCAGAGGGAGCCTCTCTGTCAGACTTCAGCAGAGTTTATCAGTCCTCTTTATACTCTCTGTAGCTCAGAGTTTCTCAACCTGCAGATATGATGCATCTGGTTATCTCAGTGTTGCTGGCTGCTATGAGTCTTGGTATGAACTCTTTGAAATCAGTCCAACGTTGAGATGATTCTCTAACATGTCCCTGATACTGTTTGTTGCTGTTTTACCCGGAAGTCCCTCAGTGGCAGCCATGATAAGTGCTGTTCCAATTCTCCAAATGAAAGGAAAGGAGGTTTCAAACTTCCTTTATAACCTCCTTTAGCTTAGGAACCACTGGACCTCCCTCACCGAAAGGAGAGGAGAAAATGCTGCCCCACAATGCATTGCAGCCGCAGCATTTGCCGTCACTCAACAGTCGGCCGTTCACGGAAACAACCGATTATGACGGAGAAATGATATCATGAAAGTTACGGTGCTCATTAAGCTAAACGTATGTGGTAAGTTGCCAAAGTGCTTTGTTCTGAACGTTCATCAGTATTATAATCAAAGAGAGAAATATGAACGTTAGTTTTTACTAAAATGATCAAATAAAGTCAACATCTCACAGTCTTCACTGAGCTGTGTGGAGTTTGTTCAACTTGTAAAAGATGTTTGAATGGTGATATACACAGTGATAGATGTTAAGGACTAACGTTTATAATAAATACATCTGTATTGATTTAAGATCTTTTCATCAATCATACGTATTGGGATCATTTGTATTAATGTGGACCGGAGGGAGAGGGGGACGAGCAGAAGCTTCACTTTCCTTTTTATTTCAATTCCAGCTTTGGTCCTGAAGAATCTGTTTCTCTGTTGTCCACGTTCATAAAGCATAAAGCAGCAGCGTCAGAGCACAGAGTCTCTAGATGAGTTCACAGGAGTCCCTCGTTCTTATTGAACATCCATGTTGTAGTCCGCTGTATAGAAAACTGTAGTTTCCATAGTTTCCCCACAGCAGCAGACGCTCATTCAGGACGTCCGCTGGCGAATCAGAAACACGACGGATAGTGAAAGTGCAGTCGATTCTCTAAAGTACCGCAGTCTCTTCTCCTAAGTCCTTTTGAATTCTCCTATCCACTATCCCTTAACCCCGTGACCTTTCACTCAGAGGTCAAGGAATAGACGATAGGGTTAGATGTTAGGAGCTGATTTGTTTACTATTGGACCGCAACCCAACTCTGTACAAAAACTTTTGGAGCAAAGACAACACAATACTGCACAACATCCACCAGATGGAGTTTCTCTTCGTTAGACTTTAGGAGATCCGGCAGTGTCTCAGTCAGTAGGGGCTTGGACTGTGTGCCGTAGGGTCGCCGGTTCAAGTCCCCGAACAGACCTAAAAATGGAGTGTGGACTGCTACTTGGAGAGGTCCTAGTTCACCTCCTGCCCTGCCGTGGTGCCCTTTAGCAAGGCACCGGACAACCCCCTTCCCCCCCAACTCCCATTGCTCCCCGGGCGCTGTACAATAGCTGCCCACTGCTCCTAGTACTAGACTCCTGGTTCTAGACTCCTGGTACTAGGATGGGTTAAAAGCAGAGAACACATTTCACTGTGTGCTGTGTGCTCTGCATGTGTGACCATTAATAATAATAATAATAATAATAATGATGATACTTGTATAGCGCTTTTCAGGAAACTCAAAGACGCTTTGACAGAGAATTAAAAAAAAGAAAAGAAACAGAAAAAGAGGGTTTCATCCCATGCCCATAGGAGATAAGACATCTAACGTTCTAACGACATCTAAGCTTCCTTTATCTTCACTGCTTGTTCATTCTCTATCTCTGAAATACATATTTATATGTTGGTCTGACTCTCTTATCCAAATGGTTTTCTATATTAAAAGATAAGTATTCTTTTTTAATAAATCACATTTATCTCACAGAACCTGTATGTGTGTTGCGGACTTGCAGGTTTATGATCATACTCTCTGAGTGTTGTGGGAAGAACTGAAGGAGTTCAGGGTACCAGGGTCATTCATATATTCAGTCTATCTGTAACCAGATGAAGAACTTCCACCATGTACTCGGCACAAACTCAAACACATCCTCCAGAGAGTGCTGCTCTCTGCCATGTTGTCCCATGTTAGCGAGTGTGTACCACAGGGTTCAATCCTAGGTCCTCTGACTTTTTATTCACAGACTGCCTTTGGATCTGTTACCCAGGAGGAAGTGTAACTGAGAAGTGAATTACAGATCTAAGAGGAGACAGAGAGATTCAGGGAGGAGCTAAGATGTTCCTGAACTATAGAAGAGAGAGGAACTTCCATATTCACCAGAGTTCAACACAGACCATCATCATCACCTTCATTCAACATGCCGTCATCACTGATGTTTCTTATCATTTTAACAGGTATGTTCGATTGTTATGGAATTTATTTAGTCACATGTTTGATGTGATTTATTTCTTCAGGCTTGTGTAACATAAAATAAAACGTTTTTTTTATTTTAGGGGTCAGCTGTGAAGATCTCACTGCATTACAGAAAGAAGAGTTCAGTCCAGAAGGCAGCTCTGTCACTCTGTCCTACAGAGCTGATAAAGGCGTTAGCTTTGGGGATTATTTCTTCTGGTATCGACAATATCCAGGAAAACCACCAGAGTTCCTCGTCTCATCTGTTTCAGGCAGTGTAGGAAAACTTGGAATGGAGATCAAATCAAATCAAATCAATCTGAGCATCTCCTCTGCTGCAGTGACAGACTCTGCTGTGTTCTACTGTGCTGTGAGGCCCACAGTGACAGGAAACACCAACACGCTGTACAAAAACCTCTGCAGCTTCTCCCTGAACATTCACACACTTCAGATCCTCTTTTTTTTAACAACATCACCATCAAGTGGACACCTCGAACAGTACAACTTCTCAAAGTGACACACGTTCAACCTGAGGGAGACTTCTGAGATGAAGAGCAGTTTTTTTCAAATCCAAACAGCTGACCACATAAACACAGTGTCTCACAGTAGAGACACTACATACTAATATGAACCTGAACATGAGCAGACAACATGTTGGCTTGAGAGAGTTCAAGAGACGGACACAAGATGGTGCCGTCTACACGCTGACAAGCCACAACTAAAAAGGTTCTCAAATTTGTATTTTGGGCCAAGTCCAAACCGACCCCTTCCCACCATCAAACCCTCCAACAGGAAGTTATCAAACCCTCCAACAGGAAGTTATCAAACCCTCCAACAGGAAGTTATCAAACCCTCCAACAGGAAGTTATCAAACCCTCCAACAGGAAGTTATCAAACCCTCCAACAGGAAGATATCAAACCCTCCAACAGGAAGTTATCAAACCCTCCAACAGGAAGATATCAAACCCTCCAACAGGAAGTTATCAAACCCTCCAACAGGAAGTTATCAAACCCTCCAACAGGAAGTTATCAAACCCTCCAACGGGAAGATATCAAACCCTCCAACAGGAAGTTATCAAACCCTCCAACAGGAAGTTATCAAACCCTCCAACAGGAAGTTATCAAACCCTCCAACAGGAAGTTATCAAACCCTCCAACAGGAAGTTATCAAACCCTCCAACAGGAAGATATCAAACCCTCCAACAGGAAGTTATCAAACCCTCCAACAGGAAGATATCAAACCCTCCAACAGGAAGTTATCAAACCCTCCAACGGGAAGTTATCAAACCCTCCAACGGGAAGATATCAAACCCTCCAACAGGAAGTTATCAAACCCTCCAACAGGAAGTTATCAAACCCTCCAACAGGAAGTTATCAAACCTCCAACAGGAAGTTATCAAACCCTCCAACAGGAAGTTATCAAACCCTCCAACGGGAAGATATCAAACCCTCCAACGGGAAGTTATCAAACCCTCCAACAGGAAGTTATCAAACCCTCCAACGGGAAGATATCAAACCCTCCAACAGGAAGTTATCAAACCCTCCAACAGGAAGTTATCAAACCCTCCAACAGGAAGTTATCAAACCCTCCAACAGGAAGTTATCAAACCCTCCAACAGGAAGTTATCAAACCCTCCAACGGGAAGTTATCAAACCCTCCAACAGGAAGTTATCAAACCCTCCAACAGGAAGTTATCAAACCCTCCAACAGGAAGTTATCAAACCCTCCAACAGGAAGTTATCAAACCCTCCAACAGGAAGTTATCAAACCCTCCAACGGGAAGTAATCTGCTGAGAAACTACAGGCAGACTTGAGTCTTCAGGAGGAGGTTTGGAGTTGTGTTTAGGAGTTAATGAACGCCTCTTTAGGACGGTCCTGGGCTTGAGGAGTATCCTGAACCGTGGACGGGATGTTGGTGAGTGTTCATCTCAAAAACACAAAAACTATCGAAATGTTGATTTTAATTAAATGTATTACGCCAACAGATTACACATCTTTGGATTAGGTTCGTTGAAACCACTCATGAAGTTCAACTAACCTAATACTATTATCTGTTGACAGAATACTTTTAATTAAAGTCAACCTTTTCTCAGTGTATCGGACATAAAATATTGGGCTTTTTATATTTTAGTATTTTCTAAACGACTAAAGCTACTTTCTTTGCCGAGGTCTGAATCTTGAAGAATAAAAACTAAAATACCAGTTCCTAAAAAAAACACAGAAAAAGGGGATGAATGTATAATTTGGAACAAAACGAGCGTCTGATTAAGTAAATATTTATATTATATTTATAGAACGATGATGCAGCAGTTTTTGTCACAGTGTGATCAGAGGCTTTATTTCGGCAGAGGAACCGGACTCACTGCTGACTCTGGTGAGATTATTATTTCTCTTTTATAGCATTGTTTAGTTGTGACTCCGTATGCATTTAACAAGGCAAGGCAAGTTTATTTATATAGCACTTTTCAACACAAGGCAATTCAAAGTGCTTTACAAAAAATGAAAGAGATTAAGAAAATGGCATTTAAAATCAGTCATTAAAAAGAAAAGC